AAAAAAAAATGAAGGCATTGTAAGATGTTTCCAAGCAAGAAGTTTTAAAAGATGTTTTAATGTGACCTTCATATCGCAATAATCTTGAAATCTCAAAAAACCTAAAACCGCCCCCTGGGAGCACTTGAAAACACCCACTGATGTTCCTCTTTCACATGCTTTTCTCCTCCAGGTTTTGAACTTTCCCATTGTGACGAACCCGGTGTGCCTCAATTTGGATCCAAAGTCAGCGACCAAGGCCACTTTGCTGGCAGCGTGGTCACGTATCGCTGTGATCCTGGCTACAGTCTCCATGGCAGCAGCATATTGAGATGTATGACGGGCGAGAGACGGACGTGGGACCACCCGCTCCCCTCATGCATAGGTAATCCATTGCAACCCTTCACATGCAGCAGGACGAGACATCGGCCACAGCCACTGGCATGTGCATCCTTAATCCTGAGCATTTATCTTTACATGGATTCCACTTAATTGCAGTTGCAGCTGTGTTCGTTGTGTGTCTACAAATACCTTTTATGTTTTTGTTGTGAATAATTGATCTGCGAGAATGTGGCTGTCACGCGTCCTGCACCGGCAGCTCCGTGTTTGATGTGTTTACAGCCTGCTTTTAGTCCTTCACCATCTTACACGTTTTACCCAATTAAACCTTGATCCCAATGCATTGAGGATTTGTGTAATTGTCCTGTTTTGTTCACCTTGTATGACTGCTTCATGCAAACACAAGACTGAAGCTGATTTTTCTGATTTTGAGTACTTTCTTTTATCCCATTTTAATGTACAGAGACAACTTTAAGTAAACCATGGTTATGCTTTACAGTAAGGTTCAGTTCATTGCCATTAGTTGCATTAGGTAACATCACCTAACAGTTTTCACAGTATTTTTCATGATAATTTTATTTTACAAATTACAATGTTAATGTACCTTGAAAAATTAAATAAATTTTAATTAAATTGTGATAAATTATAAGTATATAAATGTTATTTTTAAATATTTAAATTGTATTTATAAATATATAAATAAATTGAATAAATTAAAAACAATTTTTTTTTAAATAATTAAAAAGTATTTAATTTTCATGATTCAAGATGTAGATTATAAATGCATTTTTTAAATTTTTTTTGTTGTTGACTGTTAACATGCAAATCATGTTGTATAATATAGAAATTACAAATTAAATTAAAGCTGCAAGCAGCGTTGAAAGGGTCCCAGTGAATGGTGAGCAATATGCATTTAAAGTGGTAAATATAGGAGGAATATGTCAAAGTCATTTACATGTGCCAAACTTTGTGCTGCCAGCTGGTGGCGCTATGACTATAACTGAATATTGGCATGTAGATGTCTTCAGGCCAGGACATTTATCAAACATGAAGTTTGGTGTAGATTGAACATGGTATGTTTGAGTTGGTGTAAGACATGACATTTCCTGTTGCCAGCAGGTGGCGCTATGATTATAACAGAATATTGGCCTTTAGATGTGTTCAGGCCAGGACTCTTATTGAATGTGTGAAGTTTGGGGCAGATCCGATACTGTATGGCTGAGTTACAACAACTTCTATTCCCATGGCGAAACATCAAACTTTGTCAGGCCACCAAGGACACACCCTTTAACGACAACTCAAGACCTTCGCAATTTAACATCGCAAAGGCGTTTAGAGTAGACTGACCAAATATAATGTTGATGTCATTAAATCTCTTGGAGGAGTTTGTTAGAGCTTAAAACATGCTACTTCCTGTTGCCAGCAGGTGGCGCTATGACTATAACTGAATATGGGCATGGGCATGTGTTCAGGACAGGACTCTCATCAAACATGTAAAGTCTGGGGCAGATCGGACATTGGATGCCTGAAATAACTCTTCCCGTTTCATTGCAAAACATCAAAGTTTGTCAGGCCGCCACGGACATGCCCTTCAACAAAAACTCAAGATCTGTGCAATTTAACGTCACAAAGGGCTTTAGATTATACTGACAAAATTTGATGTTGATCTGTTTAAATTTCTAGGAGGAGTTTGTTTAAATACAACGCCTGAAAATAGCAAAAACAGCATAAAACTTGCAGAGAAAATTCAAAATAACAGACTTCCTGTTGGGTTTCGGACTTCGTACAGGGAGACTTTTTTGTAGGTATTGCTGTGTTACATGTGTCTACTGAATTTCATACATGTATGTGAAACATAGCTTGAGAGGCACTTTGTTAAAATTTTATAGGTGGCGCCATCAAGCTATTTTGCCATACCCTCTTCTGAAACATCGGATGTACATTTTTGCCACTTCTGGTGTGTGTGCAAAGTTCTATGAGTTTTCGAGCATGTTTAGGCCTTCAAAAATGCGATTCACTGCGATTCAAGAAACTGAGCAATTCCAATATTATATATACTTATTATGTATATATACAGTATATATATATATATATATACATACACACAAATACACAAACAAATGAATTAATGTATTTAAGGAAATTAATTTCAATTTTTTTTTAAAGAAATTTGTAGTTTTTTAAAGATATACTTAGTTTTTTGAAAGAAATGTTTAGTTTCTACGAGATTCAAGATGTAGGTTGTAAATGCGAAGTAATTTCAGAGCTTTATCAAGTTATTTTTAATTTGGAGTGAATGAATTGTGCAACAGGAAAGTGTATTAAGCATGTTGGTTGCAACATTGATTTCTTATCGACTGTTAGCATGCACCAATTCATCTTAGTGTCGCTTGCTTATTTGGTCAGTCGAGAACTACAAAACATTTAGCTTAGCAATGCCATCTTAGATGTTTACTGGTTGTGTTTGTATTTTGCTGTTCAAGGATTAATTTGCATTGTTAATCAGAGATTGGTTCATTGCTCAAATCCTGAGTTTAAAGGGGTCATATGATGCTGCTAAAAAGAACATTATTTTGTGTATTTGGTGTAATGAAATGTGTTTATGCGGTTTAAAGTTTGGTTCATTGCTCAAATCCTGAGTTTAATGTGCTTATAAGAGCTTGTGCTGTTAATGACTAGATAATCTCTTGCTCACGTAGCCTTGAGATTTATACAGTGCAAACATGAAATACTCACAGGGAAAATGTTTTTTTGAGTACATACTCATTTGGAGAGTGAATATTTATAATTACCATGTTGAAAAGACCAGCATATGTTGTGTTTTGGATGCTGTTTGCTGCTTCAGAATGGGATGTTGTCCAGGATGGCGATTCGGCCACCAGCTGCACAATTGTTGACAACTGAGAAGCTCTAACTTCTAAACCCGTTAATCGCATTAAATTACTATTTACAGCTTCTGCATGCTCTTCCATTAGTTTTCCCTGCAAAGTTAAAGCATATTGTTTGCTGGTAATCAGTATAAGTATGTTTTGGGTACTTTCATACTTACTAAGCATGGCTGTATAGGCTGCTCTGACATGATTTTATTCTTGTATAAATTCTTAATTATCCAGCATGCTGTTTTTATGACCCCAAATTAATTGAGTGACCACATGGATTATTTATACTTTTGAAAATTAATTTGTCGTGACTCATGCTGCATGAACATTTGAACTACAAAAAGTTCAAACCAGTTATAGCACATAAAAACATATATTTTCTTATGTATAACTTTTTTAACTATATGTTGATAAAAATGCATATTACTTGTTAGCTGCCCAACTAAATAACAATAACCAGGTTGTGCAGATTAGTATTGGCCATATGATACCATATAAGATCTTGAAATTATTATTTAGTTATTAGTCAGTGTGAACTATGGAAGCTTGTTTCCTCCACTGAATAAAAATGACTAAATAAATAAAAATATTATTTTGTGACTTTTCTCACAATTCTGACTTTTTTCTCAGAATTTTGTGGTATTAACCCACAAATGTGAGTTGTACTGTTAGATTTGTGAGATATAAACTCACAAAGTCATTAGAATATAAATATATACTACATAAACTTTGTTGCTTTTTCCCTCAGAAATGCAAGTTTATTTCTTGCAATTCTGAGTTTATAACACGGTTACAAGTTATAAATTGTGAGATATAAACAATTTCAGAATTGTGAGCTTACCTTTTTCCTTTATAACTAGCAATTTCAAGTTTATATCTCACAATGAGAGAAGTCATCAGAATTTTTATTTTATATATTCATTTAGAATTGCAAGTCTGAATTATATATAAAACAAAAGTCCGAATTCTGAGATTTAAACTCAAAACTTTAAATCTATAATGGGGGGGGGTTCAAAAGGCAATTGGCTTTAGTTTCTCTTTCTTTGTTTCCAAATCAGTCACTTAAAGTTTCATTTCACTAAAGTTGCTAAATTGGAAAGCAGCTGACTATGTAGTCAGAACAGGTAGATCAAAGAAAAAAGCCTCAGTCTCAAAATGCTTCAATCCCATGCAAACTATAAAATAACTTCACGTAAATTGATTGGTCTCATACAGCCATCAATATTTACGAGTCCAGCCTGTATGATGAAATTGATGAAGAATAGAGCAGTCAAGATGGAAGTAGCCGTGCTCTCTGTAGATGGTATCCGGTTAGCAGATGCTGGAAGCTTGCCTCGGGGGTCTGCTTGCTCTTATGACAGCGCCTTGGGAATTTAGACATCAAAATGGTGCACATTGAGGCTGTGCTAAATATTTCATAAATCTCAATTTCGAAAAATTTACCCTTATGACTGGTTTTGGGGTCCAGGGTCACATATAGTGATCATAATATCATAGAGTCTTGGTTGTGAGCTTTTGCGAATTGGATAGTTTTAAGAAAAATTAGTTTGTGCACTTTCAGGCTGCATTATTTTACTTGCATTATTCAGGCTTCATTGGTAATGCTGGTCTGTATTGTCACAACATGGTTATTGTTTTAGGTGGATTGCTGACAAATTACATGCACTTTTTTTTTTTTCAAGATGCAATTTTAACACATAATATCATATACAAAGGTACAACACTGTCATTGGGTTGAACCCTTTCAAAAGGTACTAATATGTACACTTTTGTTGCCAAATTGCACTTTCAGAGTGCTAATATGTAGAATTTAGAGGTAAATAAGATTTCTAGTTCACCCCAAAATGAAATTTTTGTTATCATTTATTCACCCTCATATCGTTCCAAACCCGAGTTTCTTATGTTGAACACAAAAGAAGATATTTTGTAGAATTTTGAAGAACCATATAGTTTTTTGCCCCAATTGACTTCCATAGTAGGGAAAGAAATACTATGGAAGTCAATAAGGACCATCAGCTGTTTGATTACCAGAATTATTCAAAATATCTGCTTTTCTAGGTGCTATTAACCAGTTTCACCATTTCGCATTTCATTTAAATGATCATGCAGTAAGACAAATTAATTTCAAAAAGGAATTGCAAAAATATTGACTGTTCTCGAACAGGTTTCCCAAACCCTCCGCCTGCATTTCCATAGGTTGAACAAACACAAAGTCCCGCTCTAAAATCACGTGATTGGTTGATTCAAAGTCAAGTCAAGTCACCTTAATTTATATAGCGCTTTTAACAATACAGATTGTGTCAAAGCAACTTTACAGCATTAAATAGGAAAATATTGTCAATAATGCAAAAAGACAACAGTAAACACTCAATTTTCAGTTAAAGGCAGTTCATCATTGAATTCAGTGATGTCGTCATCATTGAAGCTCAGTTCAGTTTAAATGGTATCTGTGCAATCAAGTCGACGATAGCGCTGGAAGTTAAGTGTCCCCAACTAAGCAAGCCAGAGGTGACAGCGGCAAGGAACCAAAACTTCATCGGTGACAGAATGGAGAAAAAACCTTGGGAGAAACCAGGCTCAGTCGGGGAGTCAGTTCTCTTCTGGCCAGACGAAACCAGCAGTTCAATTCCAGGCTGCAGCAAAGTCAGATTGTGCAGAGGACTCATCTGGTGTGACTCATCAAGTGTTGCTCTACACTTATGGTGCTCAAGTAAAAAGAGTAATGTTTTGATTTTGTGTTTACACTATTCAGGGGAATCAGCCTATGAATGGTTTACTTAGTTGTCTCTGCATATTGAACTTGAATATATGAAAGTATAAAAAAAAAAAAAGAGAGACACTCCAGCTCTAAAGAGGCCATTGAAAATATATCAGACATCATAATCTCTAGGGGCGGCTGTCTTTTTCTCGAGTGTTTCTCTGCGTTCATTACATTACCATTGTAATGACAGTAGTTTCTTTGTCACGAGCAAAGCTGTTCGCTCATGAGAAGAGCGTTTGCTCAGGCTGATCCATAATGCGCTACAGAAACAAGTGCTTTAATGAGCGATGTAGTGCAGATATTGTGTCTCAGACTGCCATAATGAATATGATAATACTTCCTTTATTTTTGTGATATATGCAGCGGTCCACAGCTTTTCATGCAAGGCCGAGCTCATAAATAACGTGGACAGAGTTTTAACGTTTAATTAATGACATGCACAAGCAACGTACTTAAAAGCGGCGTCTCGTGCATACATAATTACGGCCCATTGTTGCATGGCCACGTCGGGACGGTGAGGGGGCGGCGTGGTCGTGTCTGATCCAGCAACAGAAATTCCAGCGGCCCGAGTCTCCGCAGAGCTCATCATTAACGGCAGAAAGAAAGCTCTGACTGAATACATCATCTTCGTGTGTGGGAGTTGACAGCGCAATAACTTCTTGTTTTGATCTATTATAGCGGAGTGTGGGGGAAGTTTTAAAGGTGAGTCATCCGGACGGATACTGTCTCCCGGATACCCGTTTCCGTATGACAACAACCTCCGTTGCACGTGGACCTTCGAGGTGGACTCCGGCAACACTGTCAGGTGACTGATTATTGAGGTGGAAACGCAGCTGATTAAGTCACTGGCGAGAGATTAATTCATATTTTAGCCTGATGAGTACTGTCAGTGTCTTGGTGATATTGAAGCACAGATTGCTGAAAGCCATAATGGGTATTTAGAGAGCCGGTTAAAGGCATTCATTTGAGGAATTGCACAGGAGAGAGTCAAGCTTATTAATATTAAACAGATTGCATGGACCCTGACCTCAAGTGAAGTATATCTACCTCTACATGCTGGAAAATGTCGTCTTATTTTATTATGATTGAGGTCTTTGACCTGTTTATGGTGCTGCATGAGGGACGAGCTTTCTCAGTAAATAAATGATTGAAAGTCTTCTTTAAATCATTATTGGTAACACTTTACAATACAGTCCCATTAATTAATGTTAGTCAATGCATTAACGTTAGTTAATACTTTAGTACATACAAATGCAACTGTTAGTCGTTAGTTCATATTAGCTCAGGTCCAATAAAGGTAAACTGTGTCATTTTTTTTTGCCATACTAGCATGAGCTAATCAGCAGAATAATAATGTTTTTCAAACTGTCATATTAGTTTCTTTTATTGTGCTTTTAAGGTGCTTTTTTGTAGCTTGACAGCATCAGAAATATTGTCTGCTGAAGTACAAAAATGACTAGAACTAAAAATTAAAATATCAAAATAATTTAAAGCTTAATATGAATATTAAAAAATAAAACTGTCAAAAGCACTTATACAATAAAAATAAAAGCCCAATTAAAAATACTAATACATACTATACTACTATATACATAATACTAAAATAACACTAAAATTATCGATTAAAACTATATTCCCTAAAATCACTTATTTAAACAATTTATTTATTTCTCTAATCGATATGAAGAACCACGTGGAATATTGTTTTTGCTGCTTTTTTAAAATAAATGTTCTGCTGATTTGTTGATGCTAGTATGGCAAAAAAAAAAGACACACTTTACCATTAACAGATACAACTTTTGAAAGTATTTATAGGTACTTTTCTCGCTTAGTTCGTGTTAAAGAGATAGTTCACCCAAAAATGAAAATTCTGAATTTCTTTCTTCCGTTGAACATAAAAGAAAATATTTTGACAAATGTTGGTAACCAAACAGTTGCTGGTCCCCATTGACTTCCATAGTATGGAAAATAAAAATAAATAAATAAAAACTACTATGGAAGTCAATGTGGACCAGCAACTGTTTGGTCACCAACATTCTTCAAAACATCATGGCAGATGTTGTGAAGTGTTACCTAATTATTGGTACTTGGGAATTTTAGTCTATGTAATTCAGTGTAAATCAGGTTTTAATTTAAGTGTCTGTTTTAGTCTGCAGTTCTTGGCTTTTGACACGGAGGCATCGCATGATATCCTGAAGGTTTGGGACGGGCGTCCGGAAAACGAGATGGCTCTGAAGGAAGTGAGTGGTTCGCTGTTACCCGACGGCATCCACAGCACTCTCAACGTGGTCACCATCCAGTTCGAGACGGACTTTTACATTAGCAAATCTGGATTCGCCATTGACTTCTCAAGTAAGTACTTTTCTTTCAAACCAGAGGGGTTCCGCAGTACACAGTTGTAGTATCAAGTAAAAGAGAATTAGCTAATGAAGCCTAAAGCCTAAGCCTAAAACATTTTTAGTAGAGGTGGACGGCATGAATAAATGTTCCATCATTTTCAAACTATTAATTTAATATTACAGTAATAGTGTGTGTCATGATTACAGTTGCCTGTGCTGGAAATTAGAGTTTGATTCATCTTTCAAGAATCACTCTAAACACTTAATTTCAATGAATTGATTCAAAACTTTGTGTAGAAATAGTTTAAATAAAAATAACATACTGTATGAACATAAATGTGGCTGTTTATTTCTCTGAGGTCAAATTTGTGCATATAAATAATAATAAATAACTGTACTTTTTTCAAAAAAAATTGGGGTGGAAGGAAATCTCTTCTGCTCACCAAGGCTGCATTTATTTGATCAAAAATAGTAAAACTGTAATATTGTGAAATATTATTACAATCTAAACTGTTTTCTATTTTAATATATTTTAAAATGTAATTTATTCTTGTGATCAAAGTTGAATTTTCAGCATCATTACGCCAGTCTTCAGTGTCACATGATCCTTCAGAAATCATTCTAATATGCTGATTTGCTTTTCAAGAAACATTTGAAATAGAAATCATAGAAGTCAAGAATCATAGAAATCAAGACGTATTTGAAATCTTTTGTTACATCATAAATAAATTTACTGCCACTTTTGATTAAATGAATGCAACCTTGCTTAATAAAAGTATTAATTTCTATCAAAAAATAACACTGCTCCCAGACTTTTGAATGGTAGTGTATGTTCCTTGTGTTTATTTAGTGAAAAACAGTGCAGCAAAGATGCATTGATTGTTTTTTTTTTATTTATTATTTTTATAATTTTTTATTATTTTACTTTTTGCATAAGACACTTTGAATGTAATTGCCTAAAAAGGTGCTTGGCCAGAATAATGCTTCCTCAGCCTGAAGAAAGTAAAAACCTTTTTAAAGTAAATACACAAAGAGGCTTTTAAACCCCTGCATCCATTAGCAAGTGATTTTGCAGTACAGTAGCTCAGACTTATTCCACACCCGTGTTAGACGGTGTCCTGCTCAGCCAAGCCCCCACTGAGCCATTGTTCGCTACCGAGGCCACGCAACCTCATTTCCGAGCAGAAAATGCTACCTCCTGCAGAGATATCCTGGTAAGCGAAAAGTGAGCACAGCTGGTCACCGTTACCATTTTGCAGGTTCAGTGGCAACCGCCTGCAGGGACCCGGGGACGCCCATGAACGGCAGCCGCAGCGGAGAGGGCAAAGAGCCCGGCGACACGGTGACCTTCGCGTGTGATCCGGGCTACGACCTGCAAGGAGAGCCCAGGATCACCTGCATTCAGGTGGACAACAGATTCTTCTGGCAGCCCAGCCCTCCTACATGTATCGGTGAGATTTATTCAATTTGCAGCGATGCCGCCTGAGGCCTGTGAAATTCGGGCGGCCTCTCATTTCACACTTGTCAGCTCTGACGAAATGTCTAAGATAACTACCCGAAATGACTTGAATCACCCTTTATAAAAGGCCTGGAATAATAAATCTCTTTGATGGAAATTTCTGATCACATGCCCAGTCAGCACTTAAACCTCTAGGTTGTAGGAAACTGTGGTGAAGACTTCCCATGATAAATGCTTCTAGGAAACTGCATTTATTTTCTGGATAGCGGGAGTCTGTGAAACCTATTTTCTTTCAACTGCCTTTAAATTTGAGTCACATTTAGACATTTTAAAGGTCAATCCGGTTTAAAGGCAGAGCAGGAGCTTAGGAATGATTTGAACGGTGGAGGGGTGGGAACTTATCAGCTTGGCTCATGAATATTAATGAAGTGGTTTGAATTTGAATCATAGCTAGTTATTGAATGATATATTAGCCAACATGGTCATTTACGCATGTGATATCTAGACATTTTGAGATAAAGTAGCAGCGCTCGCACACTACGGGGAGGGAAAATTTCATATACTTTATTATCTCAGTACTTTATTAACAGAAAATAATCTCTTCCAGCTCCTTGTGGTGGAAACATTACAGGCTCATCTGGATTCATTCTTTCACCGAATTTCCCCCATCCGTACCCGCACAGCAAGGACTGCGATTGGTTCATCACGGTTCACCCTGATTATGTAATTTCCTTGGCATTTATCAGGTAGGATCGTCTACTTGAAAGACTACATGTCATTCTGAAAACAGGAAGATTTTTGTTAACAGAATTTTTTGTTACCCCTCCAAAAAAATTTAAGAAAGGTTTTAACGACTCTAAAAAGTGGTGTAACTATCATTATCATGCTTTTATAGTTTTTTATTAATATTTTGAATTAGATTTGATTTTTGTTATATTTTTATTTTTTTATTTTTATAGTTTTCATTTTAATTGGTTGTTTTTGTTGTGTTTGTCATTTTTATTAGTTCTTCTTCTTTTTAAGTATATCTCTGTTTTTATTCATTTTTATTTGAGTTTTAGTTATTGTAGTACATCAGTTTAAACTATGAAAATTAGAAATGTTGCCTTGTTTGTTTTATTTCAAGTACTTATTTCACTACTTAAAAAAAAAAAAAAAAAAATTTAAAAAAAAGATTATTCCAACCTTCTTTAAGTTTTTTCCCCCTAAGAATCTCAGCCTTTTAATTAGACTTTTTATATATATTTCTTTATTGCTTTTTTATTTCTCAAGATGGATAAACTACCTAGACATTTTGACTTTGTCCCGCAAAAAAAACATCAAACTGAATTTTTGAAAAGGTTAATCATAGAGGAAATGTTTTCAAGTCATTGTCAGTGTGATTTGCATTTTTAATGTTTCTTTGAATAAATTATTACATCTGAACATATAAAATGAGTGTCACGTCACTGACCCATAACTGGTTCCATCTTAGACTGTAAATTAGAATTTGGTATTGATATATCAGACTGTGATCTGTGCACAAAAAACTCAATTAATTTCAAATTAACATATGACTTAGAATTGTGTTTTTGTCAGTGTAGTAATTGGAAAAAGATCTCTCTTGCTAGATATTCTCTGCGAGGCGTGCGAGGCGTAATTTCAAGTGACATTATTACAGTATTTACAAATTTTCTCAAATTAATGGCATATTGTTGGTGCATTACCATTGCAGTCTTGGGACAATAAACAAATCTTCATAATGACATTAATACAGCAGTCTGCTCTCATTGCAGTACTTCATGTGAAGTGCAGCATTTTCTGACTACATTTTCCCAAAGCATCGCTGTGCCATTTATGTGCATTTTCCACCCACATCGGATGTTTCCACTTCATAACATTCCCCCCACCTGAAACATACAGAAAAGCCTCTTCAAAACATTTTCTGCCTCAAATTACCCAAAAGGTCTTTTAGGAAGGGCACAGGTTTTAACAGCCTCAGCCGGGCACATGGTGGAAACTAGATGGAGCTTGTGATGTTGTCAACAAGCGCTTGATAAATGTTCATGTTTATAATAGGATGCTGCTTATTTTCTCTTTCCTGTTTTACAGCCATCACACTTTATAAGCAATTTGCATTTCTACACTGCAAAAAATGAGAGATTTTCTTTTTTAATTTTAAGCATAAACTTCATTTTTATTTATTTTTATTTTTTCAGAAAACAAGACTTATTAGCTTTGTACTTATTAGAAATTGTTTTGCTTCTGAAGTAAATGTATTTTGATGTAAGAATATTTAGATATTTGTACTGGAATTTAATTTAAAAGAAAAAGTACAAAAATTGTGACATATTGAGTCTTTTTTTCTGAAAAAAGTTTGAGTTTATGCTTAAAATAAGAAAAAAATAATCTTGTTTTCCCTTTGAATTAAATTCATTTTTCTTATTTTCAGATATTTTTCTTGTTTTAAACATAAACCCAGTGTTAATTTTGACAGCAAACTTTGATTTAGTTTTAGTCATAGTCTTCTGATGAAAATGCCATTTAGTTTTAGTCATATTTTAGTCATCTGAATTGTTTTAGTTTAGTTTAAGTCAACTAAATAACATACAATTTTAGTCGACTAAATCTAAAGTATATTTAGTAGACTAAAATTTAAAGGGTTAAGTTAAATTGTAATGCATTATTTTTTTATTTCTGTTTTGGTTATTTTAGTACATCAAATTAAGCTAAAGCTTATAAACTAAATGAAATAAAATACGTTTTTTTATCATTTCAGTTAACATTTATTTTATTTCAATTAAAGAAGAATATTTTATGGTTTTAGTTTTAACTATAAAACCCTGATGCTAGTAAAATTTATTTATTAAATCATATTTTGAATAATGTTCTTAGGCCGTCCATCCTGTGATGGGGAATCTCAGACAGAAGCTACAATAGTTGTTAATTAAATGGAAAATTAAATTAAATACAGTTTATGTACCCAAAATATCAATAATGACCAGGAAAACTGGGAGACATGCAAGTATTTATGTAGCTTCTGAAGTCCAGTACTATGAAAAAATATGATCGTTGAACAAAATGAGAAGAATTTACACATCATCATCCTGTTCAAAAGTTCAGGAAAAAAAGCTTGAAATACAGTGTGACTCTTATTTTGAAATGTCTGCACTGTGGACTGTACAGTTGCAGGCTGCTCATTCAAGTTCAGATGAGGGAAATAAAATATGCATTATTACAACCATTTAAAACATATTACCATATAAATATTGTATAATAAACATTGTCATAATTCATCAACATTAGTTCATAAGCAATTGCTTGGCATAAATATGCGCTATTCATTGATTACAACCCGCACTGAAGCAGTCAGAAGCGCTGCTGCACGAGTCTGTAGAACGCGCCACAGCGCCGCGTTTTCCCGCGGTTAGATCACGACGGTACAAATACAATACAAATGCAGGCAGTTGAACTGCTCAGGACCAACGAGGGACTCATGAACAACTATCACAAAATATAAAAACAGTCGTGGATCATCCAGGAAATTACACATAGTATTAAGATTCAATACTATGTGTAAACTTTTGATTGGGGTCATTTTTATGGGGTTATTTCATTCATTTATAATTTTGTAAACAACTGTTATGTGAAATAGCTTATTCAGGACAGTACTAAATAAAAAATAACATGCAATTTTCATGGTCCCTCTTATTTTGTTTCAATAATTAACATTTTGCACATTCTGCAAGGGGTATGTAAACTTATGACCACAACTGTAATTACTGCCATTCAAAATTTTGGGATTAGGCCGTCCATCCTGTGATGGGGAATCTCAGACAGAAGCTACAATAGTTGTTAATTAAATGGAAAATTAAATTAAATACAGTTTATGTACCCAAAATATCAACAATGACCAGGAAAAAAAGCTTGAAATACAGTGTGACTCTTATTTTGAAATGTCTGCACTGTGGACTGTACAGTTGCAGGCTGCTCATTCAAGTTCAGATGAGGGAAATAAAATATGCATTATTACAACCATTTAAAACATATTACCATATAAATATTGTATAATAAACATTGTCATAATTCATCAACATTAGTTCATAAGCAATTGCTTGGCATAAATATGCGCTATTCATTGATTACAACCCGCACTGAAGCAGTCAGAAGCGCTGCTGCACGAGTCTGTAGAACGCGCCACAGCGCCGCGTTTTCCCGCGGTTAGATCACGACGGTACAAATACAATACAAATGCACTTACTGTTACTACCACATAAGACATCAGTCCTGACTGAGTCTGACTGGATATCTTCCCAAATCGTCCTTCCCTAACATTTTCGTCTCGTTTTTACGAAAATGAGAGTATACGATTTTGACGAAAATGAGAGTATATGTTAGTTTTAGTTTTTGTCATTAAAAACTGGTTTTTATTTAGTTATCGTCTCGTTTTCGTCGGTGAGAAAATGTAGTTGACGAAAATTGACGAAAATAATTCGTCAACAAAATTAACACTGCATGATTTTGATACATTTTACAGAAAACAACAACAAAATTAAGTAATTTTCCTTCTTGAGTAAATATGTGTTGATTCAAGAATTTTTATATACAGTTGTGCTCATAAGTTTACATACCCCTCGCAGAATGTGCAAAATGTTAATAATTGAAACAAAAGAGGGATCATGAAAATTGCATGTTATTTTTTTATTTAGTACTGCCCTGAATAAGCTATTTCACATAACAGATGTTTACATATACTCCGCAAGACAAAATAATTAATTTTATTAATTAATATTAATATTTAATATTAATTTATAAAAAAATGACCCCAATCAAAAGTTTACATACTCTTGAATATTAATACTGTGTCATTTCCTGGATGATCCATCACTGTTTTTATGTTTTGTGATAGTTGTTCATGAGTCCTTTGTTGGTCCTGAGCAGTTCAACTGCCTGCAGTTCTTCAGAGAAATCCTCCAGCTTCTGCTCATTCTCAGGTTTTCCAGCATCTTCTGCAGATCTGAACTTTTTCCAGCAGTGACTGCATGATTTTGAGATCCATCTTTTCAAACTGAGGACAACTGAGAGACTCATACATAACTACTGCAAAAGGTGAAAACATGTTCTGATGCTCAAGAAGGCCACACAATGCATTAAGAGCCGGGGGTGTAAACTTTTGAACAGGATGATGATGATGTGTCAATTTTTCTTATTTTGTTTAAAGATCATATTTTTTCATTTAGTGCTGCACTTCAGAAGCTACATAAAACATATTTTTCCCAGAAGACAAAATAAGGACAATTTACCCTGATCACCCAATTCAAAAAGGCTCTTAATGCTCTGTGTGGCCTTCTGGAGCATCAGAACATGTTTTGATCTTTTGTGATAGCCGTGTATGAGTCCCTCGATCGTCCTCCGAGTGAAAAGATGGATCTCAAAATCATGCAGTCACTGCTGAAAAGGGTTCAGATCTGCAGAAGATGCTGGAAAACCGAAGAATGTGTAGGAGCTGGGGGATTTTTAACTGTTCAGGACCAGCAACTATCCAACCTGAACCAACATGATCAACCATCACAAAACATAAAAACAGTGATGGATCATCCAGGAAACAACACAGTATTAATATTCAAGAGTATGTAAACTTTTGATTGGGGTCATTTTTATAAATTCAGTTATTACGTTGGCTTGTGGAGTATATATAAACATCCATTATGTGGAAT